GATTGTTTTATATGCCTCCTTTCTCCTAATAGATCCAAGGCAGTTTACAGTATTAAAAAGCAAAATTACAAGCTAAATGATAAATTATTGCTATATAAAAAGCATTAAAGAGATCATATTAAAAACTGACAAATAAGAGCAATATTAAAAATACAAGTAAAACAAGAGAATAAAATAATCCCTTTAAAAAATAATGTCAGTCAACTAGTCATTTAAAGGAAAGCCTGCCTGAAGAGAAAGGTCTTTGCTTGTTCCAGAGTTTCAGAGTCTGGGAACTCCTGTGTCTCCACCAAATATACCTGTGAAGGTGGTGAAACTGAGGGAAAGGCCTCTCCTGATGATCCAAATGCCTGGGTAGGCTCATACAGGAAGATATGATCCTTTAGATAGCTTGGACCCAAGACATTTAGAGCTTTATAGGTTAATTGTGCCTGGAAACAAATTGGCAGTCAGTGGAGCTGTTTTAACATTGGAGTTACCATATTTTTCCACGTATAAAACAACACTTTTTCCTAAAATAATTAGAGAAAAAAAAATTGAGTGCCGTTTTATCCACGGAAGGAAGCAGTCACGCGTGTGCGCCTCTTCCTGCCACTGCCGCTGCCCAATTGCCTCTTCCACAGCTCATGGCTTTTCCCCCCTTGGGGCCCCCATCAGGGTTTTTTCCAAGGACTCTTTTCTTCTCATGAGATGGCCAAAGTACTGGAGGCTCAGCTTCAGGATGTGTCCTTCCAGTGAGCACTCAGGGTTGATTAACAACACTTTTTCCTTAAAATAATTAGAGAAAAAAATTGAGTGTCATTTTATCCACGGAAGGAAGCAGTCACGCGTGTGCGCCTCTTCCTGCCACTGCCGCTGCCCAATTGCCTCTTCCACAGCTCATGGCTTGTCCCCTCTGGTGGCCCCGAGGCACAGGTGAAGGAGCATTCACACACATTCGGGCACCTCTTGCTGCTGTCTTCCCCACCCGCCCAATCACCACCTCCCATGGGACTGACAGGCTCACCTCACCTCACTGCCTTGTCCCCTCTAGTGGTGGAGGCAGGAGGAGGAGGAGGCAAACAAGCACTCTTGC